AATGCACAGTAATCCTGTTATCAAGTTCCTACACTGCAATTTGTTGGAGGCTAGGAGAGCATTTGAGGGAAGTGCGACCGTTTTCTCCTGTTTTCACATTCTTTGTCAAGCAATGACTTGGGCCGCCCTTCAGAATAGGATGCCAAGCTCACCTTGGTGTATGTTTTCACCTAGGAAAAATGAGAGCCATACGTTTTGTCCTTCATAAAGGTCACACTCCCAAAAACACCTGATGGAGTTTGTACACAGTGATGGACATTCTCTAGTACCACAGTGGAAAGAGGGAAAAGCTACTATAAGAAAATAAAAGGAAAAGATTCAGTGGAGGGTTAAAGCGACGTGATCAAGTGGGAAATCGGGGATTAGAGTGTCGAAGTGCAAAGTAAAACGTTCCTGTGCTAAGAGTGACCAGGCTGTGAGAAAGTAAAGAAGATATCACAAAAAAAGTACTGTGCTGCCAGGAAAAGGAAAGACAGGAAGAAACCTGCTAGGCTTTAAAAACAGAAGACAATTTTTAGAAGGCATTTGTTGGGCAGTTTTGGGATACAGTTCCCTATACAGCTCACTCTCCGCTGATACCTGGCGAAGTCCTGCTCCCACTGTCTTCGCCTCATTTTCCCTTGCTTCTGGTACTCGGTGCTGAAACAAAAATCAGGCTAGTTTGTGCAAAGCATCAGTTTTGGCCAAGCATCCAGAGCATTCACTAGAATGCAAAAGATCTAGCCCCACCTCTGCTGTGGTGCATGCTGTTTCCTCACCAATCTTACATCTCTCTGTTCAGTTTTAAATTGCCTAGGACAGAGCTCGCCTCTATGCCCAGAACTGTCTTTGCCGGATCCTGCACAATCTGGGCAGACAAAGACATTTTAGCACCATAAAGCAGTCATAAGTCACCGCACTATATAATTACTTTTAACTCTGTGCAGTCTGAAACCAATTCTCCTAGGTCCTGCTGCTGGCAGAAAACACCCTGCTGTTGAACATGCATCTGATTACAGTTCTCCTCAGCCAAATATTCTTCATGGTTTCTACAGATGTTCCTCTTTTTTATCCCATAGCTATGAACTTTATGAGACGATGCTCTCTTCACCTGCCACTTTTCTCTGCCAATAATCCCAATAAAAATCTATTAGCTCATGCCCTAACCTCAGCAAGTCCTAGCTGTGCTGGTCTAGGTCTGATCTGGGATAATTTAAGGTTTCGGGAACTGTTGACTTAGTGTTATCTTTAAAAATACCTCCCTCCCCGATACAATCAGAGGCTGAGAGGTTTCAAGCAAACAAAAACAGCTGAACTTATCCAGTCTCCATCAGGTTTCCATAAAGTTCTCATTCGGTTAACTCTTATGTTAAGCTGTTTGCAGTTAAGTGCCACAAAGGCACACTGAGAATGCAGGCTGGAGCTGCAGGTTCCAGAAAAGCAAAACACCGAGATACATTCTCACATAGAGCAACTTAAACTTAACAGAGCTGTGCCAGTTCCCACCAGGAGAGACTCGGGTTTGAGAACATTGATGAGCAACTGTTGAGTTCCCTCAGTTAGGGAATGGTTTGAATTCAGAAATTGAGTTTGTGGCCTCTTGCTTCCAGGTCACTGCATCAATCTAGTGCTGTGCAAAATGAACTGAGAAGTCTTGGTGGAGTGCCAAGGAGAATGAGCTCACTTTCCACCTATGCATCGATTCAGGACACAATGAATGCATCAGGTCAGAAGGTGGAGAACATATTTGGCCCTTATCCTCATTTCCCACAGTCATTCAGTGGACACAGGCAGACAGCTTCAAACAAAAAAAGCCCATGGGTTGCACAAAGATAAGCTGATCTTTCCTGAAAGCCTCTACCAAATTATGATGACAGACACCATAATAAATTACTCAGCTGGACAAGCAGTCAGCATGCAGAGAGAGAGGAAGGAGACTTCCTCCTCACCTCCACCAACACCAGGTCATAGTGTTCGGGAGTGAGGTAACCCTCACAAACAGTTCCTGCCATTGGCAACACTGGATGTTTTTGTGTCTCCATAGATGGGCCACACTGAATAGTGGACAGCTGATGGATGACATTCTTAGCTCCGTGAAGACTTTAGGATGTTTCCAGGAACGAAAGCCTTGCTCCAGAGCCAGCCAGCTCTGAGGAAGCTGAGCTGAGAAGCAATTGGGATGCAACGGCAGGTCACAGCTAGCACAGCCTCAGGCAACAGAGGTAACTTTCAAGCTAATGACAAGAGAGCAAGTGGTCTTCTCTGGAGGAAAAAGGGGAACAGCAAACCAAGTGCTGAAAAGACTTTACATAGGAGAGAAAAAAAGGATAGCACTAATATCATTTCCCTACCGCACAAAGCTGGCAGGAGCAGTAGCTACTTTTACCTTCCATTCAGGCTCAGAGTCCTGTCCTGGACTCACAGGGCAAAGGGGGCCATAAGAAGGACAACTGTTGGATGGATTCGGAGGCAGAAGTGAATGAAGAACAGGCGATCGAGAAAGGAGACCTGCACCAAATCTCTAGCTTCTGAAGAGGCCCCATAAACCAGTAGGAAGAGTACTAGGCTGGGTGTCAGGACATCCGCATGCTTGCCTGCGATAAGCTCACTTGGAGCAGCTACCTTCAGTTCTGTAAATTCAGTTCCCCCGCCTGAAAACCAGGAGTAGTAGAGTTTATTCATTCCATATACAGCTTCCAATGCTTTTTCTCTTCAAGATATGGATCTATTTTAAAGCTCCTAATAAAAAGTTCAAGTTAAGCCCAAGATCCAAGTTTTTCAGGCCTTCTGAACTCACGCTCAAAGACCTTTGTGCTGCAGCTCTTGAAAGCAATTTATAGAAGAAACGGAAAGCAATTTGGGGAAAATAGAGTAATGATGTCCTTCCACCAAGGAAGGACCAAACCTAGCTCTTATCCCCTCCCACACAGGTTGCAAATCTGGCCCCGGGGGGTCCTAAAACTGAAATGCTGTACACATTGACCCAATCAGTCTTGCTTTAGAGATCATCAACAGCACAAATCTCTCAAAGGGATATCTGGTCTGAGGGATGTTCAGGACTTAAAACAAGGCCAGGCCAAGCTACACCACGGTGACATGGGCACTCCTAAATCTTGCAACTTTCGGGGCTTCTGTCATGCTGAGTGGTGGTCTTTAACTCCTATAACTTCTATTATACATGTCCATACATTTCTTAGCATAAAATACAACTGCTTGAAAAATCCTCCACTAACTTTTCTCTTGAACTGAAAGTAGCTCCTCCACAACGTGGAAGTTTTCACCCAAATTACATGTTTGATATGGGATATTCACATTGTAACTGAAAAAAGACAGCAGACATGCAAACTAAGAATGCTAGAAACTGTCAGCTTCCAGCAACGAAACCCAAAGGCTTTTGGGTTTGCACCACATGGCTTCAGACTTCTGATGAAAAGAAAACTTCTACATATTTGAACAGCAACTTCATTTCCATTGGAACCTTCCAGGTGGCGAGAGAAGGGAAGGTTTCCTGCCCAGCTCTAGAGAACTACAGGAGACTTTGTAACACATATGATCCAAACAAAACTTTGGATCTGAACTCTGGGGAGAAACCAAACACGGTTCAACACCTAAATGCAGCCATGATCCAGGTTTAAGGAGTTCTGGCCACATGTGAGGTTTGGGTCCGATTTTACGGAGCTTAAAAGGAAAAGCATGCATCTGTGGCTGCCTCTGCTGTTCTTTATTGAAAGCCACCTCTCACTTGTTCACACATCTCCAGCACTTATCTCCGGGCTGCATGGAGATGCCTCCAAAACAGTTAATTCACCATATCCCCCCCATCCCAGTGCTTTTACTCGGATCCCTCTCCTTCCCTAGTCCCACCTCCAGTGCCACCTGCTCCTCCCTGGACACTTAGCCCTCCAGCTTCTGCTCTTCGTGTCCTCAACACTCACCATATCTGAATTAAGCAAACATGAACCACAGCCAGCCAAACTTTCTGCTTAGTGACACAAGAGTTGGCAATTCCAGAACCTGCCTACTACAGAGGGGGCCAGCATAACACTACAAAAGCCATTCAGGACAGATTACATACATACACTCACTGTCCTATAAACATACCTGCCCTGAATGGTCAGTAGCGTTCCTCACAGGGCAAGAAGCCTTAGCAAACTGTTCCCCTGCTCCGAAGAGCAAATTACACAAATGCTCAAAGCATGAGCAAGTCCAACATTGAGCCATTAGACTTTCACATGTCTAATTCATAATAGACTAATTCATGCATTTATTTTATACTCAAAACAGTCAGGACCGCCTCCAAAACAATCAGGCAGCTTCTGAATAGATTCCATGTTGATGGAATTCTACTGTCACTGGTGGCATTAGCTACCAGTTATGCTTTCTGGTTTCCTATGTGGGTTTGCAGGCATGACAGATGAGAACAACAGGATCATTAGTTCCTCCAGCTAAACGGCTCTCAGTACGCTTCACAAAAAGACCAGACACTCAGGGTCTAATTTGCTTCTCTTACTTTGGTTCTTCTGCTTGGTGAACTCTGTAGAGGAAACATCTTTCCAAGCTGCATCCACAGAAGCACAGAAGCTTTAGCCCCTGCTCCAATACAGCTTCCAACAATAGCGTTTATTTAGGCTGCACGACCAGGCCTGCTAAGTACCATAAAATATAGGTAAGGAGTGAAACAGACCTGATCCCACTACCTACTTCACCCAGCAAGACACATATGCTCTTTACAGGCAAGTTTCTTGTCTTCTATATTTTGTCCCCTCCACTGCTCAAGCTTATCTATTCACACACTTGCTGTCAGGATCGCAGTATACAATACCACCAGCAATTTTCCTCTAAAAAAAAAAAAAAAAAAACACACACCACTCTTCTGCATTCTCCAAATTTAATAGCTCCTCATCCCATAATTACTACCTTCTCAGTCAACATATTTGAAGATCCAAAATGTTTTGCAAGCAAATGCCTGCCAGTGCAGAGTCGGGGGTGGAGGGGGCGGGGCAGGGATCAAAACAGCTTACTGAGAGTAACCGTGTCATTGATCCTGAAACTGCAGAGCACTCTGTCAACATTACGGGCGTGTCGAAATCCGTTTCCTCTCACGACAACCTGAAACGACTCTGTAGCAAAAGAGACAGTAGATTATTGATACATAGCGAGGCAAAGAATAGTCATTTAGACAAGGCATGTAGGTCACAAGTTTTCACTTGAGATCTCTTGAGCTAAAATTTGCAGTTTAACAATTTTTAAGTTTAAAAATTGTTAAAAATTCAACTTCCACTCTCTCCCTACCCAATTTCAACTTGAGTTTTTAGAAACAGGAAATAATACACAACAGAAACATTTTAACTGACCTGCAGTGAAAACATTAAGCTTCAGAGGCACTGAGCTTTCCCCTCCCCAGGCTGCCATTTTAAATGGCAGAAAATTTTGGGTGAAGAAAGGTAAAAGTATCTTTCCATGGAAAGAAAAAAAAAAAATGTTGCAGTGACAGATAACTTGGAGAAGTTCAAGTGCTATTTTCCTAGGTAACTGCAAAATTGTATCAGTTGCCGTGAGTTTTGTCACATCCTGCCCTACTAGCCTGTACAGTGACCAGGAGTCCCTGGCTGGACTCATCTCCATACAACGACAGGGGATTTCATCAACCGAGCAGCTTTCTAGTCTCTAGACAAAGGCTATGATCTCAGAGTCTGTGGGCATTTCTCCAAGTCTTCCTCTTTGCTATTCTTCCAGATCAACTCTACAAGGTCACCGCAAGCTGGGGCGCAAGCAGAAAGCATCAAGGACAGTCACCAACACCTGAGCGCTGAACTGAGCAGTCCTTTTTGGAACAAGCAGGGCTGAGCAATGAGATCATATCCTCACAAGTCGTTCAGAACACTCTACCATCCCTTGTTATTCCAACTACTTGAACCTTGTAGTGGGAAAGGTTTACAAACTTCCTGCAGCCACCAGCATTAAGACTGCCTTGCCAGGTAAGCACCATTTTCAGACTTTCAGATTTTGAAACAGGGCCATAGTCCCAGAAAAGTTCTGGCAGCAGACATAGGAACTCAAACTCTACAGTTCCCCGTGGTGAAGGAAACAGCCCCCACAATTCCTGTTGCTACCTAGGAGAGGCACTCAGATAATCCCCGCTGGTGTTTCGCTGGTGAATGTGGTTTGAACACAAAATGTTTCACTGTCCGAGACAACGCAGGAGTAATCACAGTGCATCAGAAACACCACCCTGGTTTTAACATTCCCAGGAGCAACAAGGAACTTAGTTTTTGCAGATCCAAAGTTCTCCCCTTGCACTTTACAGTCCCCATCTTCTTTCATCTCCCTTAACAACTCACACACTGTACTTGTCAAAAAAAGCAGATTTGCTCTGGAATCTGGGCTCTTTTCCAGGTCCCACTCATTTACAGCCAAGTTGCAAATCATCCCACCACATCTAGCCAGGGAAGCTGCCTCGCAGGGCCATTATGTGTTGTCCAAGAGCCTTTGGGAAGAATGGGGGAGAAGAGCTCTGTTCTGGAGTGCGGGGGCTGATGAATACTTAAGAGAAATCACAGAAGTCTCAACTGCTGGGGAATGAGAGTTCAAGTACAGTCAAAGAACAGCATATCAATGATGTCAGATTAACCACAGGGACCCTGTCTCTGCTTGAGACTGAAATGAACAGATACAATATGCACCCTGCATGTCTGTACTGATGCAAAACCAAATCATCAAGAAACCGGCATTTCAGAATGATGTTTGCTGCTGAAATTCATTACTCAAGTGTCTGGGACCAGCCTGCAGTGCAAGAGAGGCCCTCAGGTAACACGGAGCCCTCATGTTCTCTCCTTCCAAAAGAAAAAAAAAAAAAAAAAAAAAAAAAAAAGGCCAAAACCACCACCACTCTTCAAGGATGTGCACAGAAACAAGAAAACACGAAGTATCAGAGCTATACCTGCAAAAATTTATTTTTAAAAAATACACTAATGCACATAGATTTCATATTCCATGGCACTTTCATTAGTCTCAAAGTCCTAAGTGATTAAATTAGCTGCAGTTCAAGAGCAGCGAACTCATTTGCCCAAACTCGGAGATGAGGCCTTGAATTGAGCATCTAAATAACTGTTGGCATTTTTCAAGGTTAACGTTGCTTGTCTTGTGAAGTACTGGCCAAATGCCAATGTGAATGGTTTATGTAAAACCCCTCTCAGCTGGCTCTGTTGGATACAGTTGTACATTACCCCTACATTCCCATTAAAATACAATGAATGGGAGTGATAAGATGTATAAGGAACTGACAAGCACATTAGAAAGCGGTAAAGATGGTTATAAATGGTGGTTATAAGTCATCTTCTGACTTATGACATGACATAAGCATCATTGTTTATCACTTAGATAACTATGTAAATATACTTTTAAAACAAATCTGTAAGTGTGTAAAGTGGGTCTAAATGTTCATACAATTTAATTTCCTTTCCCAAGCATTTATGGAACATCACTGCACTATTTCAGAGACTGTCATGACAACAATCATCTACCACACCAAGGTAGACAGAGCCCTGTTTTGGAGCCTTTTTTAACAAAGGAACTATTTAAATGGCCAGCCAAAATGAGAAGTAGATGACTAAGTACTAGAATTCACATCAATTATGCCATCCTGGCTTCTTAAAAAACAAAACTACTGTAGTGCACACATGGAATGCAAAACTGGTGCCCGGTACTTCTTGGGCATTTAGCCCGGTGTCTTGCATCTCCTTGGAAAAGACGCCTACCTATATATGTTTAGGTATACAGGCAGTTGCTCCAGGAACAGGAGATGCAGAAAGGATGCTTAAAGCAGCTGCTTTGGAAGTGAAAACAAAGAAGTAACGATAACTGGCTTTCTGATGATAACTGATTCACACAGCTCAGCCGAACGATGTTTAAATTCTAGTCCTCTCAGTCACTTATCAACCCTAAAGGCCTAAGAAATGTTCAAAGAATATTAGAAGCCTTTAGATCAAAGTGTGCTCAGTCGACTTTCTTGCTAGTTTCTTAAGAAGCACTTCCCTCAACAATCCTGAGATCATGAATTTGCGAAACTCTAAACTTAACCACAAAGTCTTATTTTCTGATTTGGTTTGTAATTTTGCAGCGCATCTACTTCAAGTTTGGCACAGTCCAAGTAAGACAGACTGGTTTGACTGAAAAACAGGCAAAATTGTCAAATTCAAGCTTTTTCTGTAAGAAAATGCCATTTGACATCATTTGGCAGAAATGGGAAATGTGTAAGCTACTGTAAAATTAAAAAGAAATTAATCAAAAAAGCAAAAGATATAGCTCCAGTTAATTAATTCCTTTTGCACTCTCCCGCACTTAGAGATAGACAGAAAGATGTATTTTAGGCAACATGAACAACTAGGGCCTCAGTTTATACTTACCCCCTGCACATATACTGGAAGGCTCTGCTGCCAGAATTTCTATACAGGATTTCTTCAAAATCTAAAAGACAGAAAAAATGTCATGAAGTATCTCAGACTTGTTTCTATAGAAACACAAATCTGAAAGCGTGAGACAAGTGAGAACACGTGAATGCACTTGTTATCACGTAAATGCTTAACTCAACATTGCACTTTGCATTCACGTCACAATTACGCCATCTTAGATTTTCACTTTAAACCAACCACACCGGTGTATTGCTCTTCCACAGCAAGCTATTGCTGTGGAGGAAGGCAACGGATGCCGACGCTCTCCAGTATCTCAGCACAAGCTTGCCTTTGTCTGTGGTACAAGTTATTATGTGGTACAAGACTATGATCCGTAACAACTAAGGTGCACCCTGAAGGGTTAGCAAGGCAACGTCATTGCCCTCCCTTTGTACGACAAAGATAATCTATTTTTTCTCCAAAATCATGGCTCTCTGCCTCAAATACCTCCCTCCCCAAAATTATTCTGCAGCCCAAAACTCTAAATAAAACGTCACAAGTTTAAGCTAAGCTGTTTATCTTGGCATTAAAACTTCCCAGGAATATCTTCGCAGCCACTTCTCAGGTCTCAGTACAGGGGTTCAAGCTTCTTAACTTTTTAATCTGATCTATGAGAGCATACCTGAGTGCATCCTTAAAGTTGCACTGTGATTTCAAATCAGGATGTACGGACAACTGCTCTTTACTTAAACCAAACTTAAATTAAGTAGTATGTCTTCATAAGAGTTGGCACTGCCTTTAACCACTTGATATGTAGACAGTGATTTACACAAACACTTCAGCATCAGGCTTGGCAGACTGCTTGCAAAGCACGAGGAGCATGCTAGAGTTTGAAACTGTGCCATACGGGGCTAAAATTGCTCAAGCTGTTATTTGCATGCAGCAGCCTTTCCCCTGCTCTGAAGACCAACTCAAATTCTTCACTGCACACAGTCAGCAAACTTGTGACAGTGTCCGTAAGCCCCTGTGAGAACGGCAGCAGTGACCGAGAGCTGTGGGTGTTCAGCACTGGGCTGAGCAGCCCCTAGACGAGGTAAAAAAATAAAGAAAATTAAAAAAAAAAAAAAAAAAATCAAAATTTAGGTCAGCTCCAAGAGGCAAGTAAATGTCAGCCAAGCATCATGACTCAAATCCAACATGAAAATTATTTTCCCAACTTTAAATTGAAACATCTGTAAGGAAAGAACAGCAACCAATACAATAAATTCTGCACGAAAAAGATAATCTATTTTTTCTCCAAAATCATGGCTCTCTGTCTCAAATACCTAATTGCAAAAGGTACAGATAGAACCATTTTTTAACACTTTTAAACAAACGTTTGAGTTACTCAGAAGCAGGGCTGGTAAAGACTGAAAGAGTACCAAGGGACTGAAGGAACCAGGACCGTCTGAGCTGCTGGCAGCCTGACAAGTGAGGAGAAAGAAGATTTGCAGGAACAAGGTTATACAGGAACTGTCAAGTGGAAAAAAAGAGAAAGTCAACAGTTGAGAACAAAACTGAAAAGCACTAGAAGAATTTGAAAGGTCGAATGAGGAAAATACACAAAAATTAAAGAGGACTGTAAGAACACTCTTCCAAAGTATCCATCTGCAGCTATCCATCCATCCATCTCCTGCCAGTCCTCTACTACCTGCCCCTTACTCATTCCAGGTACTGCTTCTCTGAAGACACAGCATTCTTCTCCCAAAGTGACTGCCAGGGCTAATGAGCACAACTAATAGTTGATGTTTTTCCAAGTATTTTTCCTCTCCACTGAAAAACGTCTCCTTTCAGAAGAGAATCTTTTCACATTTTTCCAAATTCCCCCTTAGATTCTGTTCCCCTCTCCCTCATCATCCCCAAAAGTTTTAATACATATTTCTTCTCCTCATTGCCTTTCAGCACTGAAGTGAAAGAGAAGTAGGCAAATGAGTTGGAGAACAAATACATGATAAATACAATCAATACTTTCATTTTTTAAAAAATCAAGTAAAACCTCACATGATTAAGTTTGAAATTCATGACTTCTATTCAGTCATTCGCAAACATTCATGCTGTAAGCCAACTCGGATAGGGGGGATGGGTGGGTGGGTGGAATAGCAGGTGTCTCAATTAGATGATGCAGAGCTCCCTTCCAGTCAAATCCAATCCATTTACATGACTATAAAAAGCTGGCCTTAATGGCTTTTTACAGTGCCAACTTCAATATTTATTTTGATTTAGAATAATACTAAGTTTCCAATGCTCCAAGCACCCACCCTAACTTAAAGTAAAAATCAGGCAGCAGTAACTATTGCAAAAGAATTCCTTTATGTCTCTTCTTCGTCGTAAAAATAAATTCAAAAAGAACTTCAACATATTCAGCGTAGAAGATTTCATCAAATCTTCTGTTCTTTCATTTCCTGAGGACTGCACAGCCTTGTGTGGGCTGTAGGTGCACTTCATTCACTGCGGGCTGGCTCCCCAGGAAAGCAAAATAACATGCAAGAGTGGTGATGCAATCTCCCAGCTGAGTGCCTATAAACCGCTCCAACAGCGTACGTGGGAGAACTGACTCCACATCCTCATTTTCATTGGGAGAACTACAACAGTTCTGGTTTACTTGGTAACTAACTGCAGGCCTCAAGGCAGCTTGCCTTGGCATCCATGCAGACAAGTATTTGAAGCACGTGCTGGCTCTTGGTGAGGAAGCATCCCATTGTCTTTAACAGCACACGCTTAATGACCAAGCTCACGTTCCCAAATCAGTCTCCTGTTGTACTCTATGGGGCTCCAATTATGCTCCAGCTTCACACAGGCTCCTGGGAGGATCTCTTGTTAATATCTGTTGACATGCCAAATAAAAAATGCAACACATCCTTGTGGAAGCATGGCTTTATTTGTCACAGTTACCTCTACCAGGACAGAACTGAATTTAGCACTACCTGTGACTAACAGCCTTCTACCAGGCAATGCATTAAAGGCCAAGAGCCAGGAGAGGCCCTGCAGATCATCGGGGCCCTTTTAGAAACAAAGGGAAGAAGGGGAGTGAAATTCTGCAGCTGCTGGAAGCTTTCATTTGGTATTCTGGTCCACAAGCATGCAGACAGATTACTTCACCACAGCAGCTGCATATTTTTTATAAATTTTTTTCACCAAATTTGGGAATTCTAATTAGCAAACAGGATGCTGAAGTTTAATAGAAGGTTACTGCCTAATCAGTGCTAGTTGAATGACCTACAGTCTGAGGCTAGGTACTTATTATCAAGCTCTGTTGAATTACTAAATAACAAAGTCTGTTGCCAATTACATAACAGTAATTTATTTATGAAGTGTTTCCTGTCCAATAATACCTGCATGAGCTAAATAAAATAAATATACTTAAGTCCTTTTTAAAGATGCATTTGGGGAAAAGAAAGAAGTAGAAAGCATGATCATATACCACTAAAAGTAACAAGAAACACTACGGTTGAGACTGGGAGTTCACATTCTCTACTTTAGATGGGTAAGCTAGCTACCTAAGCCAAGAGGCTTGAGTTGTTGACTTTCTCTTCGGCCTACGTAGAAAGCCTGGCTCTGACAAAAGACAGATTCAGAATATCTATGTGAAGCTCCTGCTCTGAATTGCCCTCTGGAGATCCCACCCTTCCTTACTGGCTGCAGAAGCTTAAAGAGCCCAGCTTGCTGACCCTGGGCAATGTATATGTAAAGCTCAGACTACATGTTAGCAGTAAGGCAGACAGTTGGCTTAGAAATTGTGTGTACAATACAGATTTTGCACATACAGGACGTGCCTTGCCAAGGAAGTAACTTTCATCTCTCCCCCCCATTCATGGAGTCTCAGCCCCTCTCCCTGCACTAGGGAATATACAGTTTATCTATTTGCAGGTGAAGTTTGAACAACCAGCTCAGGATGAGCACTTAAAAGCATCACATTTCTCATACTTCATCTATCAGACACTGACATCAAGTTCTTCCAAAAGTTACCACGCTACACATATCCAGGACTGCAGTTTGTTCCAGAAAACATTTGTGTAACAAAAGTATTCGGAGACAGTATAGTTCCAAGCTAAAAGTTCTTGGGGCGAAGGAGTACATTGAACTGCCATATCAATTCTAAAAGCTGAGGCAAGACCTGAAAAATACTGAGGGTAGGTAGACACCATTGCAAGGTGATCCGAAAGGAGTACACAGGAAATTAAACTTAAAAGGATGAATCATTTGCACAATTTATACGGATAGGAGACAGTCCCACAAACTAGTTCATAATACTTCATTTCTTAGACATCACAACTGCTTCATGAGGCTTCTTGCAGCTGACTCAAGGGGCCCACCATTACATCTCTATTTGAGACAAGCTCCGAGCTAGTGCCACTGTTTAACACGTGGCAAGGATCAGGGACTATTCTTGTGCCAAGCAACTGCTCTTTCAGTCAGTTTCTGTCAAAGGCTCAAAGCAAAGCAATGACAGGATCTCATCCTGACTTTCACGTTGCTTCGTGTTCCATTGCCTCCAGCACTCCTACCAAAGACATACTGAGCAGGAGATGAAGTTGAGTTTCAGGTTTTCCTTCAAAGACTTGCTCCATTTTTCTCTAAATTGACAGGTTATGATCTGCAGAAATTTTTCACAGCAAAGAAAAATTTAATAAATTACTTCAGTTCCTTCCATTTGTTTCCCAGCTTACAGCAATCAGATGTCTATTTCTCTACCAGATTCCTCCCTCCTACCAAACTCAAAATCCCCATTGAACATGGGAGAAGCTGAAGTTTTAGCAGTGGCTTTTTCACAACGAGGGAGACAAAGCAATTCGTTTGCTTAATAAAAAAGTCACATTGGAACTCACACGAGAGAAAGGACCAAAACCTACAGTGCACTGAGTACCTTTAGCTCCCGCTTTAAGAATCATATTTTTAAGCATGACTTCAGCATGGGACTGCATTTTCAGCTCTATTAGGCACAGCCTCCAGGGCACAGCCTGAATAGCTTGGTGGTGCTTAGTGGGAGACAGTCGTCCTCTGAAAGCACAGAGCAGATCTCCCTGCAGCTGCTAACTCAAAACTTGCTGGCTCACACAGAAAAGGAAGGGCAGGTGTGCTGAAACATTTGCAGACCCACCACCCTGAACATCTTTGCTCAGCAGATGTAGAGGCCCAGCAGAGGCCAGCCTCAAGCTCCACCACTCCCAGCTCCCACTCTCTTCCTCATTCCGGAGGAACTTCTAAGTCTACCGCCTCTGCACACACAGAGGGTCAAAACAGATCTACTCCTCAGGACAAGGGGAGGAGGGAAGAGTCAGGCCGCCTCAGTAGGAATACAGGGCAGTTCACACCAAATCACTGCAGACCAGAACAAACCCAGGTCTTTACATCTCTAGAGCAATTTCCAACACTAATCTCCCCCAGGCTCATCATTTTATCTTTGCTTCCCCTGTAACATCAACCAGCAGCTAGTAGCCTAACCAATCCCCTCTACACATGGCTGAGCATCCTTGCTATACCAACTCTTACACAGGATTCGAAAGAAGCTTCCAAATCTCATGGCTCTTTCAACACTAAAATGCTTTCCTGTGAACACAAATGTGTTGTTTGTTTGCTCAAAGACAGAGGTGCTTTACAGGGACAATAAAAGAAGGAACGAGGGAGCTTTTTTTCCAGCTAGAACAGGAGTCTACAAATTCTTTATTATTCTGCAGAGTGATTAATGTCCTTCTTGCCATTCCTTTTACACACCTCCTTTCTACCCAACCTATTGCAGTCACTCCACTCAAATGCACATGATCAGGTCGCAGTTGTTGTACTGTACATTACTGTACAACTACGTTTCCTTGTGACCCTCCTTTCCAGGGCTGGCAAATCTTGCACCAGTCAACTGAAACAGATCTTGACTAGGTTCCTGGAGCCTGTAGTCTTCCCATTCTGTTCAGTATAACTGGAAAGGGCGTCAGAACTGCTCCTGGAATTCATTAAAAACAGCTGCAAAGGGAATGCAGGGCTGGGAAGCAAACTAGGGGTTTTTGTTGTTTTGTTGCTTTCTTAAATGACATGCAACACCTGATTGTCCAAGAGAATTCAGGCAGTAGCCCCACACTTGGACAGTGCCAGGAAAACCAATAAGCAAGGGATTATATTCCATCTACATGCAAGAGCACTAGGGAAAATTGAGCCTGCGCTGAGGGAACAGTTTTGCTTGGTACTACATAGTCAGAATAGTGTGTAATCACCGTAAACACAGAAATCTGAGACCCCCCTGGTGAACGTACCCTCCCGTAGCTTCAAGTTGTACGTTTCATCTGTGTTTTATCAACTAAAAAGCCTATACCAAAATGAACAAAACGAGTGTCCTTAAAAGGATTTCCTATCCTTCTTTGTAGCCATGGGAAGCAATCTAATTAGAACAGTTATGGGATATGACTGAGCAAAAGGAACAGAAAAATACTGAAAGCTACCTGAAAACATACTGTTTCCTAGTGAACACTTGGCACATTTTACATTTATAATGAAAATGGCACACACATATATTGCCTTTCCTGCTCAGTCAAGGGAAGCGTTGGTCCTAGATGACACAGTATTAGGCTGCTCAGAGTTTTAGAGCTAGAAATAGGGATGCCCCATGAGGCATCCTTATTTGCCAGTAAAGCCCACGGAACCATTTATGCAAGCCATGGGAAAGGAATCAATCTACGCCCCTCCTTGTCAGCTGAACTGCTAGCTCTTATCCCAGGCACTCAGGAATGGGCCAGCTCTTACATGCTGCACCCAACCCCCAGAGGAAATGCCAGGAATTGATCAGTCTGAATCAGGAAACCTAGGTCTGGGGGATGGAAAAATAGCCCATTGGTCAGGAGGCCGAATGTAGAAAGCCGAGTTTTGGGGATTTTGGCATACATAGCAAGATCCCTTCCCCCATTCTAAGTAGTGAGCAGTGCAGCACATCCATCGGGACAGAAAGGATGCTAATCAAGCAGAAAGATGGAGATCAAAGAGTGCCCCAATCCTTCATATGGAATGTGCTCCAACACATCTCTGCTGTCCCAGTCTGTGGCAGCCATTTTATAAACTGCCAGCATGTGCCCAGTCCATTCAGTCAGTTACTTCCCATCAAGGAGGGAGACATACAAAGATAATATTTGGGCTCAAACCCTCCTGTGTTGTGACCTGTTGATAAACTCTACCTTGAAGTAGCAATATTAGTACAAACAAAGGTCGGCTTTTTTGGAACAAATGTTTAAGTGATTTATTAGCACTCAGCAGGTTCTTGTGAACACAGGAAAACTAAACCTTCAACTGTGCAAACTAACACAAACTAACATGCACACATGCAAACACATCATTAAAAATACTTACAGAGTCTATGATCCCCTGAAGGGCTTCAAAACCATCATTCACTGGAAAGACATGATCTTTGCTGTCGGCAATTCTAGCCAGCTGACAGAGTGGTAAAAATAAATAAAGCAGAAATGCAAAGAATGAGATAAATTAGCCAGCAGGCAGCAAATTAAGACTTCTCCAGACTCATCCACTTGCAAGTAAAAAACCCAAATACTCCAAGTACTCTGTGTGGATTGCTAGTGCGTTATAGTTTGTCAAGCATTGAAAAGTTTATCTCTTTAGCCTGATTGATTTTTAGAAAGCTCTATATCAGGAATCAGTACAGTCTTCCCTTAACTTTGAAGACAAAGACAAATGTGGCTTTCACTGATGTCCAGAGCCTAATGATCTTTATTGCAAAAAACTGTCTCCCACATGATTGTAAATCACCCAGCACAGTAAATCCCCAACCCCAACCAAAATAGGCCACAGCATCAACATGACAGGCCACTAATGCAGAAAAACATTCAGCACATACATCATTTAAACCAGGGAACTAATCAAAATGATTCAGTATTTTCACATATAGAGAAAACTACAGCAAATTATACCCCACCTGGAGATACAGGCCTGATTCACCTTTCCTATCAGGACAGAGATTTGACTAGGCTCGACCATTAGAGAGCCAAGAAGAAGAAAGCAGGGAGCTAACAGGAGATTCTTTCCAAGTGGGAGGAAAAAGGGAGCGGAAGACCATTTGGAAGCCTACATGACAAGGAAGAGGTGGTGGTAAGGTAAGGGGAACCAGGACATCACCTGTAAAGAGCTACATGCAGGTTCACTTGTCAATAGCATGCTAAGGGTTAAGGCAAAAATATAAGCCCAATTCAGAAGTAATGAGCTCTCCATGCATCTGCTGGAGCAGAATCAAGTTTTACTGCTGCAAGGCCAACGTTTGTTATAGTAATTCTCTCCCATGGCAGAGGTAACATCAACCCAGCAGGCCTCTCTGGCGTTTCCTGTAGCATTGCAAATTGGAGGCAGCAGACTAGCCACACATTCCTCCCTAAACCCCACTGGCTCCACCTTTCCAGCTCATGTCACTCAGAACTCCCACTTCTCAAGCAAAACACCAAACTGCCAACCTCCTGGTTTGCATCCAGAGAAATACTCCAGGCAACCTTCCTCTGCCTGCTCCGAGAAGGGTAGTAAAGCTGCTTACTGCTTGTTGGCCAAGATACAGCAGTTTCTGTAAACCAGGATGTTTACAGTTTCCTCAACTCATTCCCCACAGTCCTCTTCCTAGTGTGTTCTGGGACTTCAGACACAGTCATCTAACACCAGATGATTTCTTCAGCATCTAAATGACTTCAAGTCAGCTATCTTTGAGGTCCGCTACTTTAGATCTAGTCTCTTTGCCATTTTTATTCTCTCTTTGCTTTTTCTATGACTTACTCTGGGTTACACTAGTCTCTGGTTTTGATTCAAAGGAGATTGTTCTAAACCAAGTTTTTTTTGACTCCTTTTTGAATCAGTGCTTGAAGCTTTGTCAGAAAGCTGAAAACCTGGAAAAGCTCTATTCAGTAAGTATTTCAGCACTCCACTTAAGGGCTGTACAAGTGTTTGACTCATTTAGAAAAACATAATATCAAGTGTTACACTTGGTGTGAAATGTAATTCATGGACACACTAACATTCATATGATAAATTTAGAAGTCAGACTATCAAACGGGAAAACACTGTAAAATATTAGTGTCACTAATGAAGCTGTTTGCTTTTTACAGCATAGTTTTCCTGTGAAAGAAAAGCTGGACTGAAACGGAAGTGTTATATGGCAATACCTCAATTTTATTGCAAAAAAAATAGTCCCCACAACCTCCTTCTGCCTACAGCTTAAGCCAGACTGATTTGCTGTTCTTCATGTGTCTTTTCCTCTGCTCTTCTCCACCATTACCAAGAGTCATTGTGGCATGCAGACAGAGGGACAGTTCTCAACATATGGAGGTTACGACAGAAAGGGGCTTAAACCCAATGCGCCCAGACCAAGACACTTCAGGCTGTCAAACAGTCAACAGAAGGAGAGGAAGACCACTTGAGAAGTCTTGAGAAAGTGATTCAGGAGCATGTGCCTGTGTTCAACATGCACCTTTGCCAAGTACCCCAGTAAACACAATGAGTGCCTCCTTTACCTGGGTCTCATTGAAGTCTTTCACACCAACACAATATACTGTGGCTCCCAGGTCACGCGACCGATTAGCCTGGAACAAGGAAAGGTAGGATGACATGGATGCAAATGTGATGGGATGCAGGTTTCTGAAAGGTCTTAATCATAAATTTAGTCTTTCTCCGTAAAGTGAGCATGGGGGGCTTGTCAAAATAGAGCTTTAAAAGCTTTCCTACCTGACTCTGCGGAAACGCATTTTATCTGCTACTAGAATAGCCATTTGTTTAGTAAAGCAAAACCCAAGGTATTTGGTAGGTTTTTTTATACCTGATTAGCTCACGTTCCTAGCTTCTCCAACTTCTAACATTTGTCTGTCCAACAGATGTACAACAGACTAACTCCATTTTCTTTTCATCATTTAGGACATATCCCAGCATAACAGTAACCTAAAACGCTTTGGTATTTTCTATTTCAGACATTTGTGCCTGGACTCACGGTATCCATAGGTGAAGGGACATTTCACCATCTGCTACAAAACTGTATCACTCCCACTATTTACACAGCGTCTCAAAGTAATAAAGGGAGAACATCCACAGGTTTGATTTTTCCAGGCTTTCATTGACATGCAAAGGAAGTTGCATTTACTATTCAAAAAGCAACTGCTCTAAATGCTCTTGTCTGCATAAGTATGAATTAAGTCATTTAGTCATATTTTATTAGAACAGGAACACCTGACTGAAAACCCATTCCCATAAAAGATGGTAGCAAGTCAGATTATATCAGAAGACGCTAGTAGTTCAAATTATTAGATAGCTTTACAAGTGCTTTACAAGAAAAGCATCATTCCAGTTTTACACCAAGAAACTTAAACCTGAACAACTGAAGCAACTCGCAGTGTGAGAGCTGAAGTCGGAATCTCCGTTCTACTAGCTCACTAACTGTTCCTCCCCAAACCAAAACAAATATAAGACTTCTGACCTCTCAACTTGTTCATTCACCTCTAAAACCAAACTTGTTTTCTTGTGGATTTTTGATTTCAGAAGGGACGAAAAGGAGATGAACAGTAAGGAGGGGAACTCTAGATTCATGACATTTGTTTGTGCTGTAGCAATACTGGTTTTATTCTACAAAACCATTCTTTTTGTTGTTATTGGATTTAAAGCTGCACTTCGGACACACGGAGAGGAAAAATCCTGTCCATAGCAAATTCATGTAACAATACCATCTTCCAAGTTTAGGTCATCTTAATTTGTTTGACTGACAAGTGAAAATTGGTTCATCTCTTCAGAGATGACTATCGAAAGGACATCAGTACAAACATTATACAGCAAAGCTTTCAAGTGCTCAACTTACTGTTTATCTAACATTTTGCATAACATGCCAATTTAATGAGGGTGTTGAGAATACATGCTTGAATCTTGGAAACATTTGTGGAAACTTTGGATTTGATCATCTGAAAGGCTTCCTGATGTGACAGAAGATTATAGGAACAACAGTCATCCTCCTTCTGTGGTCTTTACTTCTTGTGCAAGAAGAAAAGTCAAAGTGAGAAGATTCAGGTATTTCCCAGAACAATCCAGTAAATACTGAAACTTTTCAGCTGTGAACTATTTTTTTAAACTGGAAGGTTCTTTTTTTTAAAAACTGGAAGTTTAACCCCCCCTCCTTTTCCATGAGCAGTCTCAGTTTTGATGAGTCAGAAGCATTGCTGCTGTTAATGTTTATCTTCAAGATTCATGTCTAAAGAGCAAAGTGAAGTTTTGTCACTAGGGAAAAAGGTTTTCCCTATCTTTTGCCTTCAAAGCAGCAAGCCCAGACATTTCAATGTCTCCTGGCTAAAAATGTGTAAGACACTTACCTCCCTCTCAGAGTAGAAAAACAGGTCTTCATGGAGTTCTCCATCTGTCAATGCAATGATGACACTTGCAGTTCTGTAACCTAAATACACAAACTTCTTTAGTCCCTTGTTGTTGAGTCGTATTTGCTAAACTAGCCTAGAAAACATCCTGCTAGCAAGCTGTTAGCACACTTAAAGGACCAGAAACTGGACATCAAGCCCATGTCCTTACCTCCCTTCAGCCAACCAGTTTTCAGAAGACATGGGTTTCTGCACACTTTTGCCACTCAGGCACCTGCCTTCAATACCAGTTTTATACCACACTCCTTTGATGTGCCAATGATTTTTAATTGACAGCCCCTCATAACTATTTCAATATCTCAGACCAGTAGATTAGACTGCAGCCATCAAAAAACCAAAGCATTCCTAGTTATTTCCCAATTTTATTAATGCTGTCAATTGAAGAAATCCAGAGATTTTTTCAGCTTGTGATAAAAAGCCCAATTGGGTTTTAAACAGATATGGTAGGAAAATGGCCTAAAATCTTCAACGTTCCTATGTAACACATTTCAGCAACATGGTTAAACCTTACACTCTTCCCCTTGTATTGATTATAGCTTGGGCTTTACAAGTTTGTATTACTTTTCAGGAGTGACCAAATGGAATTAATTCATATTTCTGACAACAGACTTGCTACAGACATGAAGGAGCTCTGTAGGTACATCTTGCACAAACACTGTTATGGAAAGATAAAGGCTAAATATATCAAGGCATGTAAATTATCAACCTTTAAATTTCTTCAACCATCTAGGGCATTTTCCTGCCATTACGAATAGCTGTGCCTTTAACTAGCTGTTGCTGAAGAGACAAAAATCCAAACAAGCAACTTCAATTACTGCAGAACAGAGATCCGATACCTAAATTTCTTCGTGCCACTTAAAAATCCTCAATTTTAAATAATGTGGTAATGACGCAACAAGAAACTTGAGTGCTTGACAAACAATAAGAAACGTGCAGGGTCATTCATGTTGCAGATGCCTAACTCAAGTGCCCAGGCTCTTTCTGTAGGAAATGGAGAAAAGCGAGCACTTCTTATACAAACTTAGGAGCCCAAATGACCTCCAGAGATGCCTTTCTCCCTCCACTGACTACTGCAGGAGCCTTAGGACCTACTGCAGGTGGTATAAATACTCCTTTAGTGGAGCAAGGACAAACACATAGAACTAATAAAGATGAAATACACAGGCCAACATTCAGTCTTGAGGACCCAGTTGTCCGCTGCTTCTTGCGTATGATGGCAACCTGTTTACATGTAATATGTATACCAGCATGCAAAAGCATTATCAATCCCCAATCGAATTGTTCTAGCTCTCTATTCCATTCTGCTGCAGTCATATTTTACAGATGAGTCCCAAAGCTGTGCAGACTTAGTCACTACTTCATTTTATTCATGAGTGGCCCTGCAAAACCATTAGGACTGGCTTTGTACTCAAACCTCTGCTCGCCTATCTTTTGGTTTCCAAGAAGCAATGTTTATATTTCTACTTCAGGCTTTGCAGTGCAGAAAGTTTTTATATTAATTACAAGGAAGGAAAGGATAAACATCTTTACAATTTTCTGCACTTACTACTGGATTTGATAATTGCTTATTGAAAAACACTTTTACCTAACAGCATCTCCACAGCTTTTGGAAGGAAGAAGAAATGGTTACCTGAGCCCTCAAGCAAAAAGAGCAAGATAAGGTACCAGACAGTTTTGGTAAGAGTAGGCACCTTCAGTCAGCCTGGCTTCTCACTTTTGGCCTGACACACACTCATTCCAGCTCTGGATCCTTTAAGCTCCACCTGTTCTTTTTCCTTTTCAGGAACAACTACCCTGAATAGATTGCGTTTCTGTAAGAATACGAGCCACCCCCGCCACCTTTCCCTGCAGTGAAGCTGCATTTCAAATCTGTTAAAGTTACCAGTCAAAAATAAATAAATAAAAAAACCCCCCAAACATTCAATGGATAAAGAAAGTCTCTCACCGTGAACATTTTCATAGTAAATCTGCTCACTTGCCTGAAATTAAATCAGAAGATTATTAGCAATAAATGAATAATAATACTTCGTGGGCATCTACGCATGCACCAGAAAGAGAGAGACGATGGCAGTGAGGATGTCATGTCTGCAGTCTGCACATAAACCTCTGCTTTCAGAGATATCTGCTTCACAGAACAAGTTTCTTGCCTATGGTTTTGATTCTGTTACTTCAAGGCCTTAGCTAAAGCATAACTCAGTCAAACCAACCCTAAGGCCATTGCCCAACAATAATGTAGTATCCCACTATTCTGCTATCTGAAAAAATCACATTCACCTTCCTCCTTGAGAAACATCCTAGGTCGATTGATAAATGTTCCCCAGGAACTCTAGACGAACTACTCTAATTGCAAATAAACCAACTGCAGTCTTACGCTTCTGCCTCCCACTTGATCTATGCACAAGCATATTCTGCAAGGTAGAAGGGCAAACGCTTCAGTGTGCATCAATTCAAAATTAAAAAGTGGCCACCCTGAACATATTTGGTTTATGAATTTCATTTCTGCTCTGAATTTAAATTTGGTTTTTTGGACTTCTCCTGCAAACTTTCAGAATTTGGTTTTGGACTCGTAGTTAAGAGCCAGCATCTCTGCCAGGTCACCTGAATTTTTGTTGTGTGTTCACCTGCATTTTCAATAGGCAGACAGTTCCACAGTCCTCCAAAATGCATGTGTAGTACAGAAGTGGGAAGGAGCTCAGGAATTCAAGTTTAGAGAAACTCCTGAGCTTGTAAAATATACAGAAGGAGAAGATCAGAGCAGGCAATAACCTCTGCACAGCGTTATTTGCCCACCAGTGAGCACAGGTTAGAGCCATGGCCTCAGCCCCCACCCAATTCTAACAAGCCTACTATAGCACCCATGCAGGACTCTAGACAGCTTTCCACCCTTCATGAACATGGATCCATGTGGGATTGCAATGCCAAAGCCTTCTGCCTTGTCCTAAGCTGAAAAGGCAGCTCCCCCCTTAAAAGCTGAAGGCAAAAAGAAAGATAAGTAGTAGGGTTTGCAACCCCCTTGTTCCAGCTCCAACACTGAATGTGTACACTTCAGTGTACCTGTTGCATAAAAGGGAAATAGCCCCACTTACCTACCAGAATTATTCACCAGATTCCTTTGTTTAACATTTCCTGAGGAGCACCCAGACACAGTTTACAGGCACTATAGCATCTAGTTACCCTTTCAAATCCTTCATGCATGTATGTGTCACCTCCCGGAAGGACTTTCTGCAGCTCTTCTAGACCCTGGCGTATCTGTTCCCTGAAATGAATGCAGATGCATTGTTAGATCAAAGATCAAATTTATCAGGAGCTGATATGCAGGTGAAGACACGCATGGCAGAACTAGATACAGAGAGGGGAAAAAAGAGTTAACCCAATGTTTACATAGGCTAAGGTAATGTTATAGGCTAAGGTGATGTCTGGGTAGATACCTCTCTAAGGATGTGGAAAATAGAGCAGATGTGCTCCCAGTGTTCCCACAGCCTGGGGAAAACATCACAACAGCAGCACCTCCTAGGTCAATATCCATACATTTCTTCCTAAGTAAATATTCCCTGTGTAACCCTGGTCAAACCTCTGATGCAGAAGCGGAGCAGCTGACTTGCACCTGGCTCACTTTCCTCACTTATGCTTGCTGACTTGACTATACAAATGTAATCAAACAGCCACAAAAAATGACAGCCACAAGAAATGACAATCTCAAACCATCCTGGCAACTCCAGTTTATTTGGACATTACATCTTCAGCTCCTGTTCAAACTGACTTGAAGATTAAAGCCTTTCCCAATAGCTTATTATGATTCAAGGTATCTGTTTTAATTTTTTTAGAAATCCCGGGCACACTGACAGATCAACTGCAGGCTAAACGGGGCGGGCACCCATTTGTTGTTCCACTGAGTTGCAGACACCAAACTCTGGAAGCCAAGTACAGGCCAGAAGTCTTTAATACTAAGATAAAACCCTGCAATGTGTGGGGTGTATCTCTGAGCAAACTATACAATTTTCATGGGAAACAGATTAAGTCACTGCATGCAGGACCACACTGACAATGCAAGACCGAATGCCAGAAGTCAGTTTTGTCCCTGCATTTTTTAACTACTTCAGAAAATCCAGTTTGTGTGATCACATACTCTGTCTCACTCTATTTGTGAGCCTGATTGCAGCAGTGCATTAACATTATCCAGTCTACAGAGCAGTAACTCCCACAGGGAGAAGAGAGTATCTGCTTTTGCCACAGATTGAATTATCAAACTTTCAAGAACTCATTCTGTACCTGCAATATCCCAAACTAGTTAGACACTGAGCTGTATATCATACATGGGCTAGGGACAGATATTTCCTCCACTCAGCTACCCAAGCACATACCAAGCCAAAGCTGAATATAAAAATCAAGAGCATTTCCTGTGATCAGAACTATTTTTCAAACATGAACACTGAAATTTTAAAATAGACAGCAAAGGTTTTTAAAATATGTCAATCCAGTTCCACTAGATGCACAGAGTTTTTCCAAAAGGGATGCTAAGCACCCTCAATCTTCATGTTCAGACGCTGGAGACATGGAGACATGGGCAAGGTAGAAGAGGTTTTGCCACTACTCCAGCTTCCTTATTAAGAAAGGCCAGTGCTAACTAAAGGACCAGCATGAAGCCCACACCTTGTTTGTCAGTCCTCCAACAAAAACCAGCAGCTCTGCAGTCAGCTGGCTTTTAGACTAATATCATATCAATATCCTGTTCCCAGTCAACATTTCTAGGACAGCTGGATAAATATGAAATACATTTCCACATGGGAAACACTTAAGTCTCATAGCTTAGAGCCTTAGCAGACTAGAGACCTTTGCAATGGGGCGTGCTCACAGGGTGGGAGACAGAAAGAGGCAGGGAACAGGTTTTCCTCTGGCACCAAGTTAGATATGGTTCATTCTCTTTATACTTATTGTTGCAGTAAGTGGCAAGAGATGCTTAGGCTGGCTGGGTTTAATGACGTTTTTCAAGGTTGGTATGTGTGTGGACTGCTCTTTAGGAAAGCAGCCAGTTTCCTATTCATTCCTCTATAGTAGCTGCTCTGGTATGCAATTTCATAGACATCCAATATGTAAAACACATGCTGACTTATACAGTCTTCACATGTGTTACATATATTTTTGCTCCACGTGGCAATGAAGTTAACAGTGGAAGCAAGAGTGACTAAAGGACCTCATCCAGCTCTCCTTCAAGTCAGAGTAAAAAAAAAAAACACCCCATAGATTTTACTGGGATTACCTTGGGGATCTACAAGGGGATGACAGGAACATGCTTCAGAAACATGGCAATCTAACTGTCATTGCCAAAAAATATACACCCTTGCAAATCCATCCTAAACACTGTTTGCCTATAACATACTTTCAGACCTCCGAAGAAATCATGTTCACCTCTACCTCAAGAGTATGGGTATCACCTATGGCTTTCAAGGTCGTTTTATGGGAAAGTTGTTTCACCTGTTTGTTTGCAGAAGAAACTCCCTAAGGATGTTTCAAAGACAATAAGGCTCTTATTCTCTGACAAAAGCCTGAAAATCTGTGGAAGACAGACTCCCGCAATGAAAGCAGTTTGAGTTAAAAGCCTAATTGCTGACAGAAAGACATTTAGAAGTTAAAATTAAGAAGGAAACCTCTGCCTTAGGAGGCCTTAATGCATTCTAGCAGAATGAGTGTCATATGTGAAAATGGGCAGGTAATTCAAACAATTAGATTGAGAAGCACAAAGGTGTCACCACATTTCTCACAGTGGACTGGAAATCATTGGTTGGAAGGAAGCTACATTGAAAGGAAGCTACAACAAGGACACAAAAGCTGCTGTGCACCTTTAAACCTCTTCTTACCTGTCTTCTGTTAACCTCATTAGAATTGTCCCTCTAGTTGAAAAAACAATGAAGGACATCCTCAGCTGAGGGCTGGAGAAGGAGAGAAAAAAAAAAGTAAATTATTACTTTTAATAATAAAGTCCAGACCAGAGCCTACTGTGTATGCATAACACCAAACACACAGGGCGCTCTGATGGCTAACTAGATTACAACTCAACAGGACGAAAGACAGGACTCAGCAGCAAAAGGTGTTTTGCCCTGGGCCTTCCTAGTCAAAGGCAAACCATGAGGAATCTTTCTAAAAGATGTAAACAGCACTTGCATCATGACCTTAGGATTGCTAAAGCAAGAAAGGCTTAAGTGCATCCCGGTATCACCATGGAGATGAAGGAAGGCTGATTATGTTTATCATAACACATTCCACCCACTGGCCTGGGGGATTTTTCATCCAGTCTCAAGTCATTCAGTGCCTGAAAGCTACAGCCTCAGGCCTCTCCCTGCAGACCCAAACTTCAGGCAGTAGCCAGCCATCTCAGAAACAAGAATCCTCCTTCCCCACAAAAACAGGATTTGATCCACAGAAGTCAGGCAGGAAAAAAGGGAACAATTAGCTTATCTACTCCTGTTTCCTGCATACAGAAATCTGGGGAAAAGCAGTCAATGGGATGATCTGAGAAAAGCATTAAGAACTCTCCCTCCACCAGGTCCCTGGTGGAAAGCAGTATGTGCTACTTGACTGCGACTGAGAGCATGTCTCCTATCCGCTGGCACGCACCCACCTCCTCGTTCGGTTATCTGCAACGCAGCACTTCTTACCTGATGAACTTGCGGGCCAAATGTTCCACAAAATGATATATTTCATTCCAATGGTGGAGGACACTTCCTGATCTAGGGAAACAATTATTACAGGAGATATTAGTTTAATTGCTGCTATTGTTTCCCAGCCTAATGTTTTGTTACACATTACTCAGCTAGTAATTTGTTTCTATTTTGTTTAACACTCACTGTCCATATTCTTCCTTTAAAGGGATATTGAACTGTAAATGACATTTCCTACTTAACTTTGAAAAGCAAGAATAGTTTACACTCCATGCAAGTGTTTGAGGCTACACTTGGCAATAACATATGGCAGTTACGCTAGACCTTTAGCACAGCCTTAAACAAATAAACCCTGTGTGAGTGAAGACCTGTCTCTCTGCACAGTATTTTAGACTAATTCCACCAACTCACTTGCCATACCATTATGCAGAGCTTTCACCTCAAGTGTATTTCGAGAATAAGATGCAGTTGGAGGAACAGATTATTAAACTTCTCTAGCATTTCCACTGTGCTAAAGACTACGAAAAGTGAAACGTCTTAGGTCCACATCTCGACTGTTCTGGCTAATTCTTTCACACCGCAGTTAAAGGCAAAACAAACTAATTTTGCTCCTCAGGAAAATAAGCCATGGACTATAATGGGATTGGATTATTCTTCTTTATATTGTAAGAACCAGGAAAATATTAGGTTAATCAGAATCTTTCAGCACTAAATGTCCCTTCTGGCATAAACACTTCTATGAACACTGGAATATTAATATTGGAAAAAAATTCCTTCCTGGAGTTGGAAAATAAATGTGTCATCACTTATTTAATTCATTGACTACAATTAAAAATATTTATAGGGGAAATAACCATTCCAGCTTTAATAGAAACTTCATTGATCTGCAGCCTGAGGAGGAAAAGATGAACATTTGCAAAGATGTTTTTTCACTTCACAGAAAGGAAAGGCATCTGACCTGACTCTGTTCTACCTTAGATCTGAGAATGCAAATGAAGAGCCACAAATAGATCCACCCAAGTACTGCACACCTGGTACAGCCAACCCCAGCCTGGCTGTAAATAGCATTACTTCACTTCTTAGCAGCACAGCAAGCATGCAAACCACATTGTGCAGGTCATACAAATTTCCTTCCCTATTCTCCCCACACCTGGTTTTCATTTACAGCCATTCAGTAAAAACCTTGGCCTTACCCACTTGCTCCATGATACCTTAAGCCATTCTTTCTCTATATGACCCCAACATGTCCAAAGGCAACCTTAGATGACGTGCAACGAGGACCCTTGAGGCAACCTCAGATGACGTGCAATGAGGACCCTTGCACAAGTACAAGAGCATACGGTCCATCTGGAAAAACAGTGAATGCTCTGGCTCTCGTTGCGCCAAGGACCTGATACCAAATGCGCCTCTTTAAAGATAACCTGACAGGCACCCCCATTTTGTCCGTGACTGTAAGGGACAGATTGCAGAGGAGACCTGATCGTAACCAAATGCTAATAGTGCGAGATTACTTCTTGGCTCTCTTTCCTTTCATCAGGCCGGGACTTGGAATCATCGCTTGTTCTCCATGCAAATGGGTATCAGAAAGGACCAAAGAAAGACCAATAGCAAGGGTCTCGATAAACTAATTAAACCACACAGCCAGTGGGAAAATTGGTGTCTTAAAACAGATGAAGGGCAAGGTACATCAGGACTTGCTCTCAAATGAGAAACTTAACCGCCGCTGCATCCAAACTGCAAACTGATAGAACAGAGACACACAAAGCTCAACCCCAGGTGCAAACTCCTCTCAGATGTATGGAATAACTCTGAGACCTTGAATACGACAGGTACTCCAGTCCCATCAATGCCAAATAGCCCAAATAATTTCCAAGAACTGGCCTGGAAAATAAGTATTTATTGTCTTTATATGGTGAGGCATAAAAGAAACACTTGACTTGATAGCAATGGTTACATCAGTCTCCAGAAGACACATGAAGCCAAGGCTTTGTTAACCATAAAACAACTACCTCCTTCAGTGAAATGTATGTTGCTTTAGACCAATATCCACCTCTCAATAAAAGTGCACCTCATTAAAGCTTCACATGTCTTCTGAACCACCTGGTAGCAGACATGTGAAGAAGTTAGGACCCTTTCACAAGTATACCCTAACCAACCTTCTCCTAGCCATCAGATAAGACGACTATACTACACTTCATGTTAAGGGAAAACTTAGCTCTCAGCCTCTGCCAACACAGAAGCTCTAGCTAGCCCCCACTTACAACAGGACACTGCCCTAGAAGCTGCATTAGCCTTTAAAAGTATGGTTATTTCTTCCCCTTCATTATAAGCCTCTGAAAAAAAGTTGATCATCACTTAAAATTACCACAGCAAGGCAGCTAGGAATGAGATCCAGCCACAGAGCACATAAGGTATGTAGGTCATCATCTAAAACTCCTGTCATTTTCCATGGCTCTGAGAAACCATGCATTTTTTGAAAACAGCATTTGCCAGCATAAAGGTTAAAAACCAATAGCTCAATCCAATGACGTGCCAGTCAATAGCACATCCTGTTTAAGTGTTTGCCTTTGCAACTATTGTTCCGCTGGTCTTAAATTGTTTGAGCAGTTTTTTCAGGTAAGCAGTGCTTTTTAATTCTTCACACAAGTATGGCTTCAGCTTCTGCTGCACCTCCTCCCCTTCATCATCCTCGCTCTGTTCTCCCACCTACAGTCCCATCTTTATGCCCTCTGGAACAAAACTCCAAGCGTCTGAAGTTACAGCTCTCTTTCTGTGAAACCTTCCCACACATCTATTAACACACAAGAGGAACAACCTGAAGTTCAAGAGCAGCAGAATGTTAAATGTCTATTTTAAGGAAACTTCTTACCATTGCTACAATCATAAAAACAAACCCACTCTACTCCACAAAAGGAGGACCGTTTCTGCTTTCAGTTCCAAAGGCACTGAAGTGGGGCAATTGGAATAGTCTATTTATTCTTCACCTCTACCAGAGCAAGCTATAAAAGGGTCCCAAAATGAAGGTTCACACTTTTGCTGACCATGCAACGTTCCTTCTAGCACAGCAAGTTTTCCATCTGTAGCTAGACAGCTTGCAGTCTATTTGCAGTTAATTTCTCCATCTAATCAAGCCCAGGTGTCAGTGGCTAGAAATGCCCAGGTCTGCATTTAGAAGAAAGTACTCCTCTAATACAGAAAATACATCTTCTGAAACACACTTCAGACTTCTCACAGTCTCCACTTGGCATAAAATGGACAAACCCAATAAAACTAACCTTTCTGCAGTCAATAGAAGGTTTGCAAAACCAGCATTAGCTTAGAGTGTTCACCTCCACAGCTTTTGGCTGTGTTATTTGGAAGCCCCACAGTAAAAGACACTTGTCACTTGTAAAGCCTCTCATCAGGCAGGCCAAGAACTCTTAATAGGACAAGTATTTCTAAAGCCTAACTGTAAGACAATAAAAGCCAAATTTAAAATCATTACCTCGTCATATTCCCGAAGAGAATCAAGATGATCGGCGAGCCAACACTTTGCAGCTGAATGGCTGATGCTATAAACTTGCAATTTAAGAAAAGGCTCATCCTGAGGATGCCAAATTCTCTTGCTGGAGAAAAGCCCAATAAATGGAAATTAAGACTAAGTAAACCATTATGCCTTTAACAAGAGAATGATACATTCTGTGGTCAACTGTGCTAGATTTTTGTACATCTAAACTAAATCCAAGGGTGAGAGAGAATCAGTGGTTCCAGACACAGAGAGCCACACTCTGGCTAAACGCTGCCCTCCAGCAGGTGCTTTTCTCCTACTCACTATGACAAGGTGCACCGTAACCCAAAGCTGCAACAACTCAAACTTCCTTACAGTTTGACTTTCTTGTACTTTTTTTAGACTCCTTATTTCTGTTTCTGTCATTGGACCTTCTCAGAATACCCATGGATTTATTTAATTCACAAACTAGAAGAAAACAGAATCAAGCCCGCAAACTCTTATACAAAGACTTCACACCAGTTACATGCACTGCAGCTGACAGCAGTACATAAAGACACCTGATGCAGAGGCTGATGTTGATCCAAATTCTCCTTAAACTTTCACAGTTTTGGACTAACTTCAAGAAGTCTCATAGCTGTCAGAAGTGGCATTGACCCAAGAAGTTTTGCAGCATCTTTTTATTGAGCTCTTTAAAAATAACACCAATGAGCCAAAAAGTGTCCTTTGTCTTTCCAAATACTTCAGGCGCAATTTTGAAAACACTAAATAACACAAAGATATCAGAGAGGTGATGCAACTCTTTCAGGAAACACTACTATCTTGTGCCACACTTCACACGAGACAGCTCACCAGAGATACTGTCAAACATTTGAGATTACAGGGTCTGTAGAGGTCCAGTTCAGAGCAGGATAAGCCTCCAAGCCCAAACACAGTCCAAGAACATTCTTCTCTTCCCGATTGGCAGGGGATACGTAAAAAAACCCAACTAATAAGCAAGTAACCATGGACTGAATTTACATCAAGCAGTAGATAAAGTGCAGAGCACTGCAGGCACACACTTAATCCTGGATGCAAAGCAGCTGCAGCTCCCATCCACCCCTTTCACCAAGGAATAGTTAACTTTAGATTCACCACTGGCTAAAAACACATACACAGGTCTTGATGGGCAAGGATTTCACATACTAATTTAGCTCATTGCAATTGCATGCTTACAGCAGGCTTAGGAGTGAATTACATTCCTTCAGGCAACAAGCAAAAGGACACAAGAATATGCAAATTCCCCCACACTACCTTGCTAGCATCCCTCAACGCTCATGCTGCAACAAAGAAAAACGATGCCTCCATATACTTGCAACCGCCTGCCACCCAAACAAAACACATACGTTGCTCTGGATTTGGGCCTGTGATTCCAGAAAAGCAGTCAAGGAATCACTGATTAGGTCTATGAAGACCAGAGATGATTTTGAATCTATTTCCGCAGACACTCAATTTTACCGTTACCTACTAAAGGCTTGTATTTCTTCAGATTAAAGCAGCTAGAATATTATTCGGCTCTGTAAGGGTCCTGTGGTTAGCTCTCTTGGAGGGCCCACGTTTCCCAGGGGAAGAGTCACCACTACTGGAAGCAGCTCACGTAGGTCAGTCTCCCTGCCTGGTGATGCAGAGTGTCTGTCTGCTTTCCATCCCACTGTGGCCCCTATATTCTTCTACACTCCTAGTGTAAATCTGGATTTAACCCCGCTTAGGTCATAGTAACTACAGCTACTAAAGCGAGATTCAAAGAAACAGCTATTAGCCTCTCTAGAGCAGGAGTTTCACTTCAATACAACTGGTTAAAAACAGATCAGCTGTCTGGCTGAATAACGAAGGGATCACAGGAAACAGCTTGGATTACTTGCTTCATTTTGCCAAGGATCTTTTAAAGCCAAGTTTTCTTTCACACATGTACAGTTCCTTGCATATTTTCTGCACATGGGTATAAAATGCCTACTATTTGCACACAACAGGCAAGAGCATAGGAAATAACACCTTTGACATACAGAGGATATAGCAAAAGAGTACTGAGAAGACTTACTCATTGCCATTCCTTCGTCCCTACCTGCAAATAAATTAATCTTGGGAGCTGCCTCTACTTAATGTTCAACTGTGCTTGTGTGGGGTGTTTACACTAGATACCATGTCAGTTAAGGGGTGGGTCATAGTCTTCATTAATTAGTCACAGGGATGATATTTTTAGAATAACTGGACAACATCAGCAAAAACAAATGTTTGCCTTATGTTTATCAACATCTCACTGCTTCCTCATTCTTCCTTCTTAATGAAGGCCCTATATCTTATCTCACATCCAGGCTGTAAATTCTTTGGCGCCATCTTTTGCTACCATTCAGTCTATGGGATCCTCAATCCATGAAACCCCTCAGCACCACAGTAACACAAAAAGACACGCCATCTAGGACCAGCTCTCTCAACAATTCTCCCAAGATAAGCAGGCCTTACCTTCCACAACACTGGGCTCATCTTGGTATGACCTCCACTTTGAGATGCTCAGCACCCTGCATGACTAGATCTTGCATATAACCTAAATAGCATACAACTGTATTCTAAATAGCATACAGCTTGAGTTGTAGCCCCCTCCACCTTTTTTTTTTTTTTTTTGCAATCAAAGCACAAGAGAAATGGATTAATCCAGTCTTAATTTATGTAAATACAATTCCTTCAGCGAACCTGCCATCAGGCAGCTCAGAATTTCAGGTTAGGTGTTTGTATGTGTAACGCTATTTTTGTCCTTTTAAGTTTGCGGCATGTCAAGCAACAATCCTCAAGAGAGCTGGCAAATCTTAGTTTCCTCCAAAGTTGGAGCACTGCACCAACAACAGCGTGACAACTTCAGTTTTACTTGGCAAGGAGTTAGCCCAGCTCAAACCACAGTCCTCTGGGGTGTCTTTGCATCACTTTTGGAACATAACTCTGCTAGCCTGAGGTCCAATGGTCACAGCATGAGAGGCCTTCTCTATTGCTACCTAAGCTGTGTGAGAACTCTTGGAAGTGATAAAAGACATCACAAGTGCACGCACAGAGATTAGGGATGCTATTGTAACGTAGCAAGCATATCTGGTATCGCTCAAGCTTTTGTTCTGTTTGTGACATGCGCATCAAGGTTGCCTAGCATAACAGGATTATTTCTGAATGGCTGAACACTAAATTTTCTTCTCCTTCATGACCATGAGAAATGGGAGATTTGCTTCAGGTCCTCTGAACATGCCATCTGCAGGGAGTCATGTCTCCAGCTGTCTGAAGACAGCCGGAGGAAACCTGGTTTCCCTTCAACAATTCACACAGCAAGTCTGCAGGAGTCTCCTAAGGATAACATTGCAGGGAGCTAGAGCATCACTTCATGAGAACAGCCTACAACACGTGCCCTTTCCCCAGTGGGTTACATGTTCACTTTGAAAGTCTTCTTGTGGCCAGAGGTACGCTTCAAGAGCCAGCGCTGTGACAAGGACTGCGTATAGTGCAGCAGCTGGAACATGTCCTACGAGCAGCACACATACAGGGTGCTAAATGGACTTAAGTAGTCACTAAATCCAACCAGGCACTGAGGCAAAAAGGTCAGTAGAGGGCTCTAGCACTGGTGACTTCCAGGGCTGTGTTTATTGCTTTTATATTGCTCCTTTGATCCCAGAAAGTAGGTTGCTTAATACTCTAACGGCTTTCTTCCACCATTGAAATTAACATTTCATGTTTCAGAATCTAAATCTCTTCTGCTTCAGTGTCCTTTATCACTTTTAATAACTTTTACACATTTTTAGAGGTATTTCAAAGAAAATAGTTTGCCTGAAGGCCTCTCTAGGCATCGTGTCTCTCTGCATTCAGGACTTCAGGAGCATTTTTGAAAACATTCTCTACACAATTAGAAGGTAGAAAACCCAGATAAATAAGACTCAAGTTTTTTAGAACTTCAGCATAGCATCTGAGGAATGAAAGAAAGTTTTAAAGATAAAGGATATGGGGTAACCTACTCCACCACAACAAGTCTCTCATCGGCCTCCTCAACGGCTAAACAATCGAGTCCACGGCATATTGTACACACTAATACCTTAAACACCATAACTCTTCTCCAAATTCCACTGGAGACCAAGGACATTTTTATATCAGTCCCTGTTCATTTCTGCACCAGAAAAATGCCAGAAATAGGAATCCTGCAACTGTCAAAGCAGAATTTTTTGTTGGATACCTTGATACATTCACTGAGGTAAGCCTGCCTACTTTACTGTTTGTGCCAAGTTTCATATTTCCACCCAAATACATAATCCCTTGAGCAAGCCTAGAAAGTCATGCCTTTTAGTAAGAGGACAGCACAGAACTTGAAATAAGTGGCTGTTAAAATTACATTAGCTCCGAGGTATAACACAGCATATCCATCAGATTTGAGAAAACCTTCAATTCTGCTTCAACTTTCAGGGAAATGCAGTTTGCAAAAGCTGTCTGCAGTACAAATCATGCTCTGTGGGGTTTTTTTTCCCCACATCTAACAATAAAAGTATTCCAACTAATAACTGAACAGCCAAAGCAACAAAATGCATTAGACAGGTAGATCTTTCCACTGAATAAAGTTAAAAAAAAAAAAAAAATCTTTCCCCTGGAGCATTAGGACAACTGGCATACTAAAATATCCAGTGTCTCAGTCTTACATTTTACCCAGTATTTTGTAATAAAGTGTTATGTAATTCCAAGTCATTTATACTAATGGAATGTGGGAGCTACTGCAAAACACTCAAGAGGATCAGTCAGAAAGCTTCATCCGCGAGCACTTTTGGCAACTTGCAAATACTTTCCTGTCTCTGAAATTTATGATTAATAATGTCAGTACCATGGTTCTGGCATGCATATTCTCCAGTATTTCCAAACCCTTGGTTCAAAATAACTATTCTTAATCAAGAAAATTAGGAGAATCATTTTAGCTAGTCCTTTTTTTATACTTTTTTGTAAATTGTTGCACTGCTTCAATATGAAGCTTTCGAAAGTTCAGCACGTATCTATTTCACACTGCTCCATCTACAATCTGAAGGCCTGTAAAGAGGCAAACTTACCAGTGCCAAGAAGATGATACTATCACAACTGGTGATGAAAAAAGTGAGGTAGGAAGTTATCTTCAGTATAAACAGTTAAGCAGTCAAAATATGCATTTGGTTAACAGGAAACAAAGAAAATGTGACTCAGCGCAGAGAAAATAAAGCTCTCTTTAAATAAGGCACTCTAGCTGTTTTCCATCACAACAGCCAAAATCAGACTCTTTCAAAGGGAGCAGCCACCTCTCAGATCCCGGTCTTTACCTGCAAGTTGCTGCTCTAGAACGTTCAGAGCTAAGGAGCAAGCTGTACAGAAGCAGACCTCCAGGCAGGCGAGCATTTCCTCCACGCTTTCAGCTACAGAATTAATGCCTGCAATAACTCTCCAACCCCTGCTTTCATGAGTGCCTCAACCTTCACGGTTCATAGGGAAATCAGAGGTGACCAGGGTGCTGTCCTTCTCCCAACCCCTCTTTTAAGAAACTACAGGGTCAAGTACACAATAATCAGCCACAGCAAAGTTTATAACAATTTGATTTACAGAGCACAACGGGATTATATACTATAGACCTACCAAAGAAGTTACCACAACAAAAACAAAGCCAAAGTAGTAAGGAGTTTTGCAGGTCCCTCGGGGACACAGTGACTTCTACAAAACCAAAATCCAAAGAAAACCTCCGCGGTATCAGTATATGCCATTCCAGTTCATGCCCAGAGAAAGATTTCTTTGAAAAAGAACAGACTTACTTGTCTAGAATGAAATACAAATCAAATCCTCCATAACAGGCAGGACCACCATTCTCTCTCTTTCCACCTTGTCCATCACAGGCAAGCATAAAAGTTGCTAGGAAGAGCCATTTGAAGCCAAATCTCAAGATGCTTTGCTTTGCAATGGCCATTATATCCAGAGAGGAGGAGAAAAAGAAATCTCTTCTTCCAAGGCTCCTTTATTTCACAGGTTTCTCCACAAAAGCCATTCAATGACCTTTAAATGTGTGTGTATATATATATTTTATTCCTTAAAACTCCACTTGCAACAGCTGTCCTCAGGAATTGCAAGACTTTCCCCCTTGTTTCCCTTGCACTTCTGTTTCTTGGTTTCAGATTTCAAGATGCACAATACTGTATTTCACTTTTTTTTTTTTAAAGGGACTTGACCCTCAGTCTCACTTGCAGCTCTCTGAAAGCAGCACCATTGTTTTGCAAGAGAAGGAACAGCTTCCTAACAGATCTTGCTTTGTCACAGACTTCAGAAAATACAGGGAGGGTTTGAGGTTTTTTCCCCCCCCTTTAATTATTATTGTTATTATTAAGGATGGTTAAGTTTTATTTTTCCTTAGCAAAAAAAGCACAGAGAATGCCACCTTGTGGCGAAAACTCAAGCTGACCGGAGTCCCCGGTTTTAAACATGTCATTCGTGCACCGAGCATACTAACACATGCCACAGCAGCTTTAGATACGAACATAGAAGCGGTTTGCTTACAGCAGTCACACAGCACCGTGCAGAAACATCTTTGTTTCCCACGTAGGCAACATCTGAGTTTAAAGACCTTTAAAAACCTGGAGCAGCTTCACAAAAGTTAAAGTGACAAACCACGCCAGGTTTCATCTCTTGTATTTTCTCAGTCCTAAGAAATATCAAGCAATGTCTGGGCCTATGAAACAGGCTTCCCCCTCTTACCATCCTTAACAAACTTGTTTCAGCCACTACAGCCTAAAACCCTCCCTCTTCCAGGAAAACTCGCAGAAAATGTAACTTCAGTGCACTTGCACTTTCTGCCTCCTTCCACAAACAGCACCACAAGCTCTAAAACCTGAGTAGGACAACTCAAAAACAAGAACATTCCCCAGTCAGAGTAGGCCCCCACACCAGCAAGATCTAAACTAGAGATCCCAGGAGCTTCTAGCCTTCCCTCTCAAATCCTCTCAGGCTACAGCAACACACCGGTTCTCCCAGTACTAATTGATGGTTAGCAGAGCAGCTTCAGGTGTTGCATCAAGCGTGGTGGGACCAGGTTAGGTCTCTGACAGGAGATGCAAGTGCACTTGTGTCAGGCTTTCAAGCTGTTCTTCACTGTCTTTAAAAAATTCTTAGCAAAAGCAAACAATCTGAGGAAAGACCAGGGAAAGCAGCAGGATAGTTTTCAAGGGAAAACGACAAACAGCATAATAACACACTTTTGACAGAAGTGGAAACATCTGGATTACAAATTAGTCAGGCACCTTGCTTAATTGATGATTAAAACTTTGGGCATGTTCTCCCCCCAACACCTGGCTATGCTCAGCAAATATACCAGCTCCATCACCTCTAATGTGAATAATACAAGACACGGACAAATGGTACCTCCTTGGTCCTGCTGCTAAATCCTGATCAGACCTGAAGGAAGTGGAGATCCCTTGGAAGTCAAAGCTTCTCTAGGGCTAGACAGGAGTAGAACCAGGTGTTTTGTAGATGGGTATTTTGGGCTTCCATATCTAAACTCAAGGGGAGTTGGAAGCATGGGTGTGAGTGTTTCGATTTATCTCTTAGACTGAAAGGAGAAAGCAACACAGCTCGTTACTGCATAGGCAAAAGATCTATGTCAGGGTATCAGGCTTTCTACAACAAAGAGAAACAAGGCACAACATCAGAGACGTGTATGAGAGCCTTTTGCTGAGGTAGCTGTGATGCTGCCCAAGCTGAGGGCTAGCACCTGCACCAGCCCTGGGCAGGCAAAATGTGAGGGCAGGTGCTCCTGTCCGGGTAGTTGTGAACAAGAGGCAGAGCTGCCACATGCTGGTTTGCATATCTGAGTGATCTGGTTGCTTAAATCCTGTGAGATGAGGCTGCTGGGAGATACCAAAGTGCAGAGCTGTAGTTTCTGTAGCTGGTATAGGTGTGCTAGGTAAGCAAGTAGGGTTTGGGGATTTTAGAGTTTCATATGGCTCCTCTGGAACACATCTGTTTACGGTTATGAAGCTTGAATTGCACAAATCATGGGGTTATGCATAGAGAGCTTTGTGTATGTATGTGAACATTGTACTGCCCTAAGGAAGGGGATGAGACTAGTCCATTAATTTTCTTTTTTTTTTTTTTTGGTATTTTAAAAGAAAATGAGCTGAATGGAGGATGTAAAGATAGGAAGGGTAGAAGAAAAGCTTCCTCTCTGGGGACTGATTGAGAAATTTTGGAAAAGTACTTAGGGCTTGCTTCTGATCTGCAGTACAACTAGTGCTCCTGCCACAACCAGATAAAGTATCTTCTTGTCACTAGTTCATGGCCTGTGTCAGCCTAAAGATTAAAAGCAGACTAATAATCTCTTTCATTTGTTTCTGACTGGCCCTGAGATGAACAAATATGTAGAGTTTAAAAAAAAAAAACAAACTGTACCTCAGAATAATAACTTTGGCCTGAAGCTAGCAGGGGAAAGGAGGGGGAATGGAGGAAGAGATCAGATTTTCTGTGTAGCTATGGATTCAGGCTGACAGAAGGCCCAGGAAAGCTTGGGGAAAAGCCAAGGAATGAGGCATCAGATGAAGCTTAGAGCACTCTGAGATGGAGGGAGCTGCTGACAAAATGAAACGCCATGCTTTGTGCTGTAACTCTGACTTTCTTCAGGGCTAGTCCTCTTCATATGCCTACCTTAAGAATGTGTCTTTTTGTGATCTGGTAATAGCAGCATCAACACTGAGAAAAGCAGCTCCATAATAGCAAGCTCATGTGAGACACAGGAGGGGGCATTGGAATTTCTGTCTGTCCCTCCCTCACTAAAAATGCTAGAAACAAAAATATGATGAAGACTATAGCTTTTGTGTGAAAGACCTAATAGTTCTTGGAGAGACTGGGTATGTCGTATTCTTTGTGTGAAAGAGACAAGTAAGGTGTTTTAATTGCATACAGCAGTTCAATGGTTAATTAAGCTCCAACTGATGCCCTTGGTGTGTGAATAGAATTCGCATATGTAAATGATGGGGGAAGTGGCATCAGCAGGTTTTCTTGTTTTATCATCTACTCCCTTACATGTATCTGTGGGACCTTTTCTGAAAGGAAAAGCTTGGAAGCTTTTGGCAGCTTGGAAGAAGCCGGTTCTGTCAGTTTGTGGTACCAGTGGTGTTGCTGATAAGCGAGACATAGCACATGACAGCACCGTGTGGGTTTTGTGAGCACTCACCTGGGTGTCTTTGGGGGTGGTTCCCTTTGGGTCACAAATGTCTGACCTGCATGGTGGAGAATGGCGTCTGTCAAGATCTCAAAATCATGTTCCCTAGTTTTCATGGCACTTCAGGAAGCTGTTACAGCAGTCTGCATGGATAACTGAAATGTAATGAATTGCCTAGGCTGACCAATATTATTATCACAAATGTATCGTCACTGTACAGGAATTACTTCCCTGTCTTCAGTGTAGACATGCCCTTAAATTCATTGGCCGTATTTTCAGATGGTGTAATTCAGCACAGCTCTGCTAGTATCAGCAGAGCTACACTGTCTTATGTGGTGTAAGACAACAGACTTCTCTGGGTATGAGTTGTGTGCCTTTACATTTCAACTGTACAACATATAATTCAAGGCTGACACCCAGTGGCCAAGGCGGCTTTTTTCTTCCCTGGATTGCTCTAATTTTTCAAGGGATCAATAACTCCATTGTCTCTTGCTTTTAAGTGACTTTATCCTGCTTTGATTTTATTTGCCTCTACTGCAACATCTAAGGCTGTATTGCATTATTTTTCCGGTGATTAGAGTTCCTTCCCCTAGCTTTTTTTACAAGGGCTGCTAACTCTGCATATGTATGTATCTTTTTGCTGAAGAGGAATATTATGCTAAGTATACAGATGAAACTATATTGCTTGTAATGTATTAAATAAAATAGGAGA